ACACAAATCAAATGGTGACCCAAAATCAAATTATTTGAAATTTTGATCAAATGAAGTGCCTAAATATAGTTAACAAATAAAATAAAATCAAATCAACCCTTGCCAAGATAATTAAGGAATTACCCCATAACAAGAAATATAGTCTTGGTAACTTTATGGTCTCTCGTTCCTAAAATTGTGTAGAAATTTTGAGTGCGGTTGATAATGTTCTAGTTTATTGTTTTTGTTTATTATTCTTTAACAAATAAAAATAGAATTGCATTGCTCCAACACCCCTAGATTCAAGAATGAAAAAAATAATAGTTTTTTTTATTTATGTTTTCGAACAAATTTGGAAAAGGAAATAAGAAATTTGTTTTGTCTGTTTTCAAAATTTCTATACAATTTTGAGAATATTTTTAAAAGAATGAAAAATAAGAAACGCAAATAATTGCAAATGCTTAGGTTTCTTAATAAATTTGGAAATGAGAAACAAAAAAATGGAAACGTTACTTAATGAACTATTTGGAAACAACAAAATCAAGGTTTTTTTTTTTTGTTTGTTCGTGTTCAGGTTTCAATCCTTTTTTCAAAATATAAATAAAAGGACGTTTATAAATGGTATAATAAATAGTAAAAAAATATAATATAAAAAATTAAATAGATTTAATGAAAAACTAAATTTCATATAAAAATTATTATTTTTTTGTTTAAAATTTTAGTGAAGGAGAAATAAAAAATTGTTACTCAGACATGTTTCGGTTTTTTGTCTCCGACAAAAAAAAAGGAAATAGTTACCATATGCCATTTTATTTTTATTTAAAAAAACGAGAAATAGAAACTTCAAGGCTCGTTTGATAACATTTCCAGTTTCTTGTTTCCCGTTTATTAAGAAACTTAATCATTTTGCAACTAATTATGAGTTTGTTTGGTAACATTTTTATTTCTTGTTTTTCATTTCAAGCTTTATTAAGAATCCTAAACATTTTACAACTAATTATGTTTCTTGTTTCTCATTTATTGAAAACATTTTCAAAATTGTATAGAAATTTTGGAAACAATCAAAACAAGTTTCTTATTTATTGTTTCCATTCTCAATTTGTTACAAAACGTAAATTCATTGGTGTGTTAGGTGATAACTCTCCAAATATAGAGTTATTTGGGTATAATGTTGGTATAAATTCGCTAAAGATAGCATCACTTGCACTCATATTCACTGAGTTTGTGCTAAAAAGATCATAAACACTAGCTTTCTACATTTTAATATTGTCAATTGCAATTGAGCTAATTTCGGTGCATTTTGCTACAGCTTTAACGATGCTAGCATCAGATCCAGATTCAGAAAGCAGCAGAAAACGACAAATTGACAGTGAAAGGACTGCTCAACGGGATTTACCACAGTAACTCGGACAAATATCTGGAATTTAGAGTTGGGGCTCACTTTATCCTTTGTGTTGTCCTAAAATTAAGGATGGGTATAAAAGTACCCCTTTAAGGCAGCCTCCAACACTTCACCACTCCATTTTGGAATCATCCATCCCACCCCCCAAGAAAACTTCTCCAGCTGCTCGTGGAAGAGTTAGAAGAAGCCCATAAATCTGCGGTTGAAACAAAGAACAAGAGGATTTCGCTTTGAGCTGAAACCTTCAGCTTCTTCTCTTCATCTTTGAATCTCTTTGTTTTATTTTCATTCTAGTTTTTATTTGATTTTCTTGTATGACTTTGCGTAGTTAATCTAATTTGTGAGGGGGAGGTTGTTGTGAACCCTTGTGGCAGTAGACTTTGTTACTGTTTTTAAATGATGAAGAATATTGTGTTGAAGTTGTTTTATAAATTTATTTTCAATATGCTTGATCACCATGTTGGAATTGTTAACTTTTGGAAAATCGTAATAGGAAGCGAAATACTTCATCTCGAGCTAGAGTCTACTTGAGTTTAGCGTGTGGTGACTTAGGGATAAGCATCACCTAGCTTGGTCATGAAAACTGTGCATATATGCTGTTAGTGTTTATCTATGAATGTTAACAGTAGAAAATCTGGGAAATCTGAGAAGATTCCATGTCTGTTTGGCCAATGCTCTAGCATCGTTTATGCTATAACATCATTTGCTTTAAGTCCACAAGAGTCACTTATGCCCTTCCCCCTTACTCACTTTAATGTCAGTATTTCAGTTCATATTTGTGCATTTTCCTCCGACATTTTGTTCTCATCTGTCTTTAATTCATTTTAACAGTAGTTCACTGGTGTATTGTTTGAGTTGATGTATTTTAGTTTTCCTATTTGTTATAAATACTTTGCTTGTTTAAAATCCTCTCATCTTTAGTGATTATTGAAGTGTGTAACAATCAATCCCTACGAACTTTTTATTACTTTCTACGACGATTGTGTAGACTTGCACAAGGGGACATAAATCAAACCAACATTAGGGTAATGCAATTCTATTGTTCTTTATTAAAAATGAGAAAACAGAAACAATAAATGAGAACATTACGCCAAACGAACTATATCTTTATTGTTTCTCATTTTTTTTGAACCAAATCATATAAAAATTTTGAAAACAATATTAAGGTAAGTTTTTTTGTTTTTGTTTTTGTTTTTTGTTTCTGTTTCCGTCTCAGAATTCATGAGTGTTGGGACCCTTCAACTCTATTTTTCTTTATTAAAAATGATGAAATTGAAACAATAAACGACAACGTTATCAAACGGACGCTCGACATACCAGCACTAAAAAAAAGCATTTTGGGAAGATTTGTGTGGGAAATTTCTAAAAATGAACTTGTAGTGTAGACTTATAATATGAAAATAATAAATTTTTCTCTTATTTTTTCTGAAAAGTTGATTCCAAGTGGACGGTGGACCCATTAAATTTTGTCCCAAGTACGTCAACTATTGACCAAATAATCCAAAGCAGAATTTTCCGCAATGCCAAAATTTCAAACTTCAGTTGAAAATGGTGAAACCACTTTAACATTATTGTAAAAATTAAGTATTATTGTACTTAAAGAAAAATGAAGTATTATTATAAAGTTTAAATTTGGAGTTTTAAACTAAACATGAAAAAGAAAAAAAAAAAGGAAAGGGAACTTTTCCAATAACTTTTAAATCATAAGCCCAATTTTTATTTTCTTAAAAAATCTCACCGTCCGAGATCAAAACACAAGACCCAAAAACAATACTAAGACAAGAAAAGGATGAAAATAAATGAGATAAATTTATATATATATACATCCATACAGTAATCTAGCAATTCAATTTAGTAACCATAACCATTTTGTAGTTTTTATAAATTAAAATTATAACCATTATATTTTTTTAAAACGCGTTTTTGTGATCGAGTGTTTCTTTATTTTGTTATTTACTTTTTTAAAAACGCTTTTAATATTTAAGTTAAATTTTGAAAATTTAAAAAAAAATTCAAAAACGTGTTTCTATGTGTTGGGAGTTGGAATTTTGCTAGAAAAATAAAATTGCGATAAAGAAAAGCGTAGGAAGGCTTGTATGATTCTAAAAAGTATAAAATTAAAAACAAAATAGCTTCCAAACAAGACTTTAGATTACACATTTTCAAATTTAAAACCTATACTCAAATACTATTGAAATCTATGGGACGTAGGACACACGAATACCTTTCCCGCTCATTTCTCGAGTGTTTCATCTTAAGTTCTTCAATCATGCCTTGCGCCTTTGTGTCGTTTCACTATTTTTTTAAATACAAGTCCATGCGATAACACAAAATTTATTCTAAATGCAACGTGTAACAAAAAAAAAATAGCGATAATGATTAAAATGAAATAAAGATTATTATTGTTAACTTTATTGGTTTAAATATTATACTGATTTATGTATTTTCTATCCTTTTTGTTCACACATACTTTTAAAATGTTTTTTTTTGTCATTGTATTTTTAGTCTTTTCCAATTTTAGCTCCTGTACTTTTAAATTGTCTATTCTTTGGTCCCTACATTTTTTTTATTATCTCTTGTTTTTTTAAATCACAATTTCAACACACTGCATACAATAAATTTCTTAAAATGTAGCAATAACTTTATATTAAATAATTTTCTCCGTAATATAAATTTTGTGTTAAATCTTCGCAAATAAATACCAAAATGGTCGTACATAAATTAAAATAAAAAATACAAGAACTAAATTAGACATTTTGAGGGTTGGGGATCAAATAGAAATAGTAATTAAAATTTATTTTGTTTCTTGTAGCTTAAGGAATAAAGAAATAGGAAAAAAATTGATTTCCAATTAAAGGAAGAAAAAAGAGGTTCTTGTTTTCCATTCTATATATGGAAGGAAATTCCAAACGTAGAGAAGTGGGAGAGAAACAAAACAATAGGGCGGTGTGCACGTCAAGTTTACGCGCGCCCCGAGAGCGTGGGGCCTGCTGCTTATCATTTCTCGTACAAATGATGACGTCACCACCTCTCCAGCTGAGAGGGCGAAACCTAGCCCCTGGGCCCCACCCATCCTTTTTCCTTTTCTACCCTCCCTTTTCAATTTATTTACATTGATGCTACTGCTTTGGTCTATTTACGTGGTTCCCTCGTTAAATGGTAAAAAGTAACTCATTAGTTAAATTGAACATAGCTCAAGTGGTTAAGGTATCGATTTTTGATAAAAAAGTTATGAGTTCAAACCTCCACTTCCACAATACTCGAAAAAAAAAAGACAATCCATTAGAATGAATTTTGATAACCCCATCCGAACTATAGTTCAACGATATTTATGTTCGATTAAAAAGTTGTTTGATTATACTAGTTTAGGAGTCTTAAGTTCGAACCTTCTGTGAGTTTAATACCAGATATCTTTAATGTCTTCCGGGTCTAAGATAGTTGTGGGTGTCTCTGGAGCAAAGTTGAAAGTTACAACTCATAATTATATATAGAAAAAAAATGAGTAAATAAATAAAAAAGGTAACATTTCAATATTTGATTAGTTCCCAAAACTTGGTGGGAGAAGGGGGAGGAGATTTAGGTAAATTGAGGCACAATTTCTTCCCCAAGTTGTAATTTGAGCCAACGGATTCAGTCTGAAAACCTGCAGTGGTTTCCATTTTTCTCCTCAGTTCTCTCTCTCTCTATAAAACCCTTCGTCCTCTCTGAAGCCAAAATCCCTCTCCCATGGATTCCTCCAAGCCCTCCAGAAGACCCTGCTTCCTCCAAGAAGACGACGGCCTCGCCTCTTTCGCCGACATGGACCCCGCCGTCTCCGCCCATCGCTTCTTCTCCCGCCCCCGGAGCTTCCGCCGCCTCCCCTCCGCCGCCGCCGCCACGCCGGAAGACCCTCACCCTCATTTCTTGGATTCTTGCTTCCTTTGCCGCAAACCCCTCGCAGATAACGCCGATATCTTCATGTACAGGTTCGTCGATTCCCCCTTTGTTTTCTTGTGGTTTAAGTTCTTGATTGGTCCGTTGGGGGTTTTTTCCTGCTCTGGGTTCTGATTTGATTTGGTTTTTCTCGCCCGAGGAACTCGGAAATCGCTGTCGATTTTGATTTCTCTGTTTCCGAACAGGGGATTCGGGTTCTGTTTGGGCGATTGTGATTTCGTTTCTGGGTTTCGTTTGGTTGTGAATTTCTTTCGTGGAAATCTTTAGGGTGTTCATTTTCTGGGCATCCAAACAGTGGATGAAACTGGGGATTTAGGGGAGAGGTTATTGGGAAATGGGGAACTAAATTTTGCTTGATTTTGTTTTGCAGAGGCGACACCCCATTTTGCAGCGAAGAGTGCAGAGAAGAACAAATAGAAATAGACGAAGCGAAAGAGAAAAAGTGGAGAAGATCTTCCTCGGCGGCCATGAAAGCTCTGAGGAAAAAAGATCAGAGAAGATCCACTTCGCCCAATAAATCCTCCCCTCCCAACGACTACCCTCTCCGCGCCGGCACCGTCGCCGCCGCATAGATTCCGACACACAAAAACAAAAACAAAAACAAGAACAAAACCGGGGAACAAGGAGAAGA